ACAAAGCCTACAGCATTCCTAGGAAAATGCCAGAAAAGCCTTTGAAAATCTCATAAACCAACAGAAAACGTGACAAAAATCTACGAAAAAGCAAGGGCATTGGCCGGGACCATGCCGCGACCAGCCCGGGATTCGAGCCCAGGACCATTTTGGACCGTGCTTATTTTCCCGCGCGGGTCGAGAGGGTGCCCCAAGATGTAAATCAATTGGGATGGCAGAATCCACGTCGCAATCAGGTAGCTTTCCTGGACAATTCCGTAGCTTTTAGGGCGGGATTTCGTCACTGCAACAAGGGTCCGGAGGGGTAGGGGAGGTAAGGTCTAGGTCTAAGGCTATGGACTAGATCTAGGGCTAAGGATAAGGCTAAGGCTAAGGCTTAAGGCTAAGGCTAACATCGACAGTCACGCCTCACCCCACGGTGTGGGGTCGGCGGATTTTTTGGCAGGGTGAATCTCTAATCCTGAGGTAGCAGTGTTTTCAATTTCTCGATTGGCAGATGGAGGAGAGGTGCTGCAGCACAGATGGATCAACTTGTTCTCATAAGATCATTTCCACTAGGAATCATCAACGTTTCTGCAAGACAACACAAAGTTCAGGCATCCCGCGGCACATCGCCTGGTACTTCCGTGGTGCAGAATTTCTTGCATCCACAGCCATCAATCAAGCCATTTCGATCCATTTCGCATTGACCTTGACCCTTTTGCCCACTGGTCACTTGTACTCCAATCTTTGCACAGGCAACATGCCGAAGCCTTTGACGGGCGAGGTGGACAGAGGAGGGCACTGTGGTTTCAAATGAACGGTCGGAAGTGATCAAGTAAATGTTTTTCTGACCGAGCTTCCCACAGTGATGAATTTTTGGGAGGGTCGCAGCTTTACTAAAACCTCTGGATCCAGGGTTGACCAAGCTCAGGATGACGTTCTTCCTGGGTGGCGAGATTTTGTGGGGTAACGTATTTTTAATGGATGGCTTATATAACCAAGGTTTTGCAAGTCTTTTACGTGAAGGGTCGGCATTGTCGATAAACATATGAATATGAAAAAATTGCCTTGCGCCTGTTTGCGCCTTTACAGCGTTGTTTGAACGGGCTACATGCAGACGTCATACAAAGTCATGGACCACCGCATGGCGAGTGTGCTGTAATATTGATGGTTATGTTCACAGTCAACAGAATACAGGACACTCAAAGATGATCAGACTGGATCATCATCAGCGCTTCTGACTGACCTACATTTGTTGCTAGGTCCAAAGTCCTCGTGGTAAATGTGTGAAGAGGGTTTGGGGGAAGCCAGTGTTTTATTTCTAGACAGAGTCTGAAAACAAGTGGAACCATTGGTGTCAAAGCTATGCAGCCAGCAATCTAGGAATCCGAGAATCTCGGGAGAGCAACAATTGCACCTGGGTGCCGACTGAGGCCTAAGAAGGAACGGCCATCTCCGCTTCCTGACTCCTTCTTTTCAAAGGAGGACCGTGCCCCGGTGCCCTCCCGACTCAATTCAGAGATGAGGACAACACAAGTCATCAAACAGAGAGAGAGAGAGAGCTCGTAGCTTGGGGTTGGTATTTATTTGCCTTCACCCAGGTTCCTCCAAAGAAACACGTACTTGTGCATATTTCAAGGGTACTTTGAGGGCCAGGTTTGCCAGTTGGTTCTGTGTCCAGACTTGGCTGGTTGAAGTGGGGTGAGAAATACAAGGGATCGTAGCTGATTTGAACACTAGGGAGAGACTCTCAGAATGACTATATACATCCACTGCCAGAGGTCAACTCACGGCCGCATACAGAGACCAGTCCGGCACAACTAGGAGTCACTTCCTTTCCGCCTCAGGACATCCCGGTTCACAATACCTTCATCCAGTTTGACTCCCCAAGCCTGGCTCCAAAATGGGATAAGCGAGGTTTGGCCATGTTATGCCTGGGAGGGATGGTCGAGCCTACTACGGGGTAACAACCAAACATGTGAATGGCAATTTGAAAGGCAAACTAATGGTGAACCTCACGAACGGGACCAACGTCATTTTATATATGACCAGGCCAGGCCCGACGACGGAGTGTATTTTTTCAGATTCATGAAGGATCTTCAAGGATTTGCATCTTCACTAGACTCACCAGATTGATTGGAATATTGGGATGGCTGCTGATGGAGGAGCCAGCAGAGCTACTTTTGGGACGTGCAGGGATTTGTGATGCCAACAGTAGATTCAGAGTAGTCGCAGAGTGTCATATTTTACATACTGTAGTTCAGTTTGGAGCCTCATCCAGAGGCAACCGCTGCCTGGTTTTTTGCTTGCAGCTACAGCGAAAAGCAAGAAACCTTTGGGCCGAGGTGTTGAAGATGAGAAGACCCTTGCAACAGCTCCCGCATGGATAGGCCAGGTTGGTTGCGGTGAGTGACTGAGCGAATTGACCAGAGAAAAACAGCATGCCTTTTAAAGATGGAGAGCTAAGAATGTGTTAGAGGAGTGGGGTCGGGCTTGTAGATCCAAATTAGATGACGACGGTTCGAACGGTGACAGGGGTTAGGACCTAATTGAATTTTGGAAACTCTGAGGTTTGGGTGGTTTGCAGGTCAACGAACCAAGTTTAAGCTGCCTGGATGGACCTATGATGACCTATGTGTATAATTTGAGAAGTACATTCAAAGAACACCTTCAGAGAGTCACCTCTCAATTGAAGCCTCGATGCTTCGGTGGGAAACCTCGAAAGCTTGTCGTCAGTAAAGCTTTTTCCAGAGTTTCAGGAAGATCGCGTGCTAGTTTCTGAGCAGTTTCCCTGATTCACTGGTACTGGTTCCACCATACACCGTAACTCCACCCAGTTTTAGGCCATAGCCCGTGTAGCCCGTCACAGTCGTTACAACCTCAATTCTCGGAGGCCCATCGCTGCAGAGCATCGTCCAAGCTGAGCAGAAAAAGGATTCTGTTCCCGCGGAGACAGAGCCTTCGGTGCCTTGGAGTCAGAAGGAACATGAAGGAACCGTAGTAGGAACCGTGTTAGGAATCTAGGAAAAGGAACCATCAGGGACCTGGAGTGGGGATCAAGGATTTGGTACAGAGAAGGATGCAGAGTGCCATGCATGTGGATTCAACATGATTCAACACGTTTGAGGGATGTGGATGGTTGGATGCTGGATGATGGATGGATGTGCACATCTATTGTTCGGTTCTCAATTGTGTATTTCTTGGATACAAACACCAGTTTGGTTGTGTAGCATCCATAGTGGTTGGATGGTTGGACAACACCATTGTTAGGGTGTTTTTGTTCCCTGAGTGCGATGTGTCTTAGTGTCGATGGACCAAATCCTGCACCCTTGGACCTCCCTGGATATCATCCGTTGGGGTCCCATTGATCTACCTGACCGACTGCACCAGGTGGAGGGGGAGGCGATGGAGCCGATCTCCGTGCCGACGCCCGTGACTGCTGAAGCAGCAAGGCCAGCCAAGTGATTGGACCATCGAAGAACTGAAGATAGAGTGAAGGGGACAACGAGCCGACCTCCCGTACTGTAGGGCCAGGCGTTCCAGTCACATTTGGAAAGGTTTGCAGTTTGGGGGATTTGTAGCAATCAATATATTTTGGTTAGCCTTCGCTTCCTATTCGCGGCCCGAAAAACAAGGGGAAATGGACCAGCAGTGAGGAAATCTGGAATGGATTGGACTCTCTCTCATGAGTGTTTTATGTTGGGTTCCAGTCCATGTGGTTCACTTCCGGGGCTCCTAGTAGGAGTGGGGACCGCAACTCTTCCTTGCGAAAGTCATACCTACTAACAGTTGCCGGGAGTGGGATAGGAACAAATCCCGAAAAGACCCACATGGAATGGTTGATGCTGTTCAAGTTCCATGTTTGTCCTCAGGGGAAGCATCCATTTCAGGTGCCTGGGGCAGCTCATAAGATCTTAGAAACTGAAGGACGAGCACCTTGATAAGGACCAACGAACTTAAGCCGACCTATTTAAGAATGGTTTCACTCGAGTGGAGAAGCTAAATGATCCCCAGTTACTTGGGCTTTGTTTGTATGTCGGAAGTACATTTGGATCAACACGATCCTCCGCCACCTTTCCCAGGAGTCTCCCTGCAGATCTGCCTTCCGTCCGGAGCACGATGCGTATGTGTTGAGCCGGAGGAATCGAACTGAATTATCCTGTAATGAATGCCTCCAACCTAAGAGCAATGGCCTCCAACTCAATAGCGATGGCCTCCAACCTACTGGCGATGGCCTCCAACCTACTGCAATGAAATGCTCCCTCGGGCCTTTCCAACATGGTCCTATGGAGAATTCGGTCAAATCATGAGAATGTGTGGACTGTGTTCTTACCTATCTTGTCATGATAGATGCCTCACTTTCTAGGGAAGAGGATTGCTTGCCTTCAAGCCTTGAATCATAGAGGAGCTTCATTTGATGAGCCGATGGCATATTCCACGCTGAAATGTCAGCAAGTTCCAAGTTCACAAGTATCCCCGGCCATTATTTCTATGTCGTCTCCGATGTTCCTTGCGATGGTCTCTCCTAATTACAGTAGATACTGCGGCCAATCATGGAGAGGCTGGCGAGGAGTTACAAGTACAGGATGACACCAGGATGATGCAGCTTTTCTACATGATATGACCCAGCTGACTGACAGATTTCTCTTGCTTTCAAGACCCCGTCAACGTGTCACCTAATTATTCTGTTTCCACTGGGTCAGTGTTGAAGGAAGAGACCCCCTGCACTCGCTGGGACTATATAGAGTACTGTATATCCTGTAGCGTTCGGTGTTTCTAAAAGTGGACAACAGGGATGCTGCCTCAGGTTGGCTCAGCACAACACTTCGAAGGCCTTTGCAAACGATGCTGCTTCTTCCCCAAAGGCAGATGCAAGTGACGGACATGGGGAATTTGTGTTCGTTGGAGGAGAGTGGCTTCGGGGAGATGCTAGCATGAGAGATCGAAGGCAATAAACGCAAATGACACGGTCAACCTCTCACGTGTTACCCCAAAAATTAGACGCAGTGTTATGTAATTATGATCTGAGCCATGTGCCAACGTTTTGGATGGATAGCCGAAAAGAACATCGGTCCCTTTGGCATAGCCTACAGTATCATGACAAAGCTCATAGAGTCTTGGCAGGCCCCAATCATGTTTTGTTCAGTTCGATGAGTTCGATCGCTGGTGCTGGGGGTATGCCAAAACTGGCGAAGGAAGACAGCCATTCCCAATCGCCAGGGCGATGCAACAACGGCCGGGATTGCGAGTGGGGAAGCCCTGGAAGTCTCTCAGTCAGAGTCAGTGCCAACACCAAAAGAGATTCCCTGAGTTGCAGTTTGCAGGTGATCCCCTTTTGCATCATCAAATGCGATGTTTCGTTTGTGTTTTCAAATTGCATATTTATATATAAAATTCTTGTGTTTCCTGAAGCTGATGCCTTTTCTTGCAGCATTTGGCGGTGCTCAGAACGCTATAGACTCTATGGGTTTGATTCTTTTCGACTCATCCCCAGACCCCATAAAAGGGTCCCAACGAATCCGAGAGGGACTTGGCTAAAGTGCACATGTACACTGTGAGTTCGATTTCGATGAGAGGTGTCGTGAGCCTCAACAAGTGTGACGCAAGACCTATCGCCTAGTGAGGTTCTGCCACTTTGAGCACGAAAAGAGAAAACGAAAGAAGAAGAAGAAAGGTGCCTTGTCCAAGAACAAGGACTCCCCGCTGCCATAGTTTCTGCGCTGGTCGACGTTCACTTGCAAAAAAAAGCTAAGTTGAACGTTGGGGGGCTAGCTCAAATGAAGATTCTGTCCCTCCAAAAGGCATTCTGTTTACAGTATGTTTTCTTGAAGCTGCAGGACACTGAAAATGCAGCATAAACCTTGACTGGAGAGCCTCATTGTGATGCTACCTGATGCCATGCATCCAAGAGCCATCATTGGCAGGAAAACGGTCATTGAGGTGTTCCTACGTCCCAAGGATATTAGTTGTTGCGAAACTCCCACCGCTGCCTTCCACATGCCTAGCGGATCCCTTACCCAAGTGTCCTTTGTCACCATTGACAAAATAGCACAGAGAACAGGCCAATTTCCGCTGGTTGGGGGATCTTACTTCTGAGAGAAGTCCACATTGTGCAACGATCTGCACCACTGCGGCAAAACTTCCTTTGATCCCTTCTTAGGGAAGGATCCCAGAGCTTAGCTCCCCGGTGTTGTCATCAAAGAGGTTGAAGTGTTCCCTATATAATTAAGGCACTGAACCAAACAAGCTACACACTTGGCAAACATCAAGGAAGAGGAAGATCTCAAATCCAGAGGTGGCACAAATCATGTCCACCACCTTCCAGTGTGCATGCAGCTCTGTGTGTGTGTGTCAACTGAAATACTATCATGTAATATCATGTATCTAAATGAGCAACCACTTTTATTTATGCTTTACTAAAGTAGTCTACGGCATGCTCTATTTGCTTGTAAACATGATTATATAATTCCTTTTGTTTTCCTTTGCACAGTAATGAGCAGAAGTTGTCCATAAATTTTTCTTGACAGCATGATTCACTCCTTTCATGTTTCTCTTAAACATGATTCCTTTCATTTTCCCTTTAAAACATGATTCTTGTTTGTTTAAACATGAAACATTATACTTTTTAAAGGAGAAGTGAAAGGAATGGCTCGGTTTAAAAGGGAAAATGAAAGGGAATCATCAATGTGTTATTTTCAATGATGATGTCTTTGCAGCAGACGCTAGATGAGCAAAAGTTAGATGATTGATTTGTTAGCAGTTCCTTTTCTGCTGGGGCCCCGAAATGTCCATGAGCCCATATATATGTATATATATTATATATATTAGGTACTTCTACCTGTATGTGTTGTGTTCTTGTGTCCGATTGCTTGAGAACTTGTAACATAATCAGGTCGCAGATGATGAGGCAGAGGCATAATAGACTATGCTCGCAAGCCAGTCGTAGTTAGAGCATGAAAGACTTTGTCAATTGATTACCTTGTTCCCGGAAGAGGAAATGGTCCTCTATCGTGGATTTTAAACATCCATTCCGCGAGGCAATCTCTCTTTAAGGGTGGTAAAGCAAAGCCCGGCATTCCCAATATACTGATTTCATGCTACCAATGGGATTTCCAGGACGCTTTGTGTTTATCAACTGCAGGCTTCTTGGAGACAACTCTGATTTCCAATAAACAAGCTCCAGGATTCAGACAGCGAGGAGGATGACTCTGACGACGGCAAGGCTGGACTGCCTGCAATTCCTTTCTTACAGAGTGGGGCTAAATCCGTTCAATTTCAAACATCGTGTAAACCGTTTAACCCACAAATTGTTTAAACACGTTTGGGCCACAGGTCTAAACGAGTAAACTTGTATATACCGTAGGTTTAAACATGTTTGAATGGTTTTAAGCTGTGCTGCGCAAAGGGGACGCAGCCAGTCACATTGAAACACATGCTTTTGCCTCAGATCAAGCGCAGCAGGGTATAGGGCTGCGAAAATACATTTGTTCGGTCCCTGGCTGTTCACAACCCTGTGCACTGCTGCGCGTTTGATCTGAGGGTTTGCAGTGAGGATGTTTTAACATGTGGTTAAACTGTTAAACATCTTCTTGTTTAGGCTGTTTATCCACCTTGCCGGATGCACCCCGGCATGTTTAAAACATGATTGGATTAAGTTTAAGCATGGTCACGATTCAGACCGTTTAAACCAGGGAGCTGCTGCCTTCTCTTCGCAAACCAATAAGCAGAAGATGCTCCAGCAATGCCTTTGTTGGCTCGGGGGACAGTCGTAGGACGTGGACTCCATTGGCTTTCAGGCATCATTGTGGAAACCGACTAGCCAGTCAGGACTAGGACTAGGTATTAGGATGGGATTAGGATGCTTGCATGAAGCCTCATTCAGCAATCTTCAGGTCAAGCCACAACAGCCATTGCAAGCTTGACGCGGACCGCTATTTCTCGATCAGCCGGCCGGCCGCCCGGCCCTATCGTTCCACCACTACCACGACTACTACTACTACTACGACGACGACGACGACGACGACGACGAGGAGTACTAGCTTCAACTTCTACTTCTACTGCTACTTGTACTTCTACTACTTCTACTTCTACGACTACTTCTACTTCTATCTACTATCTACTATCTACTATCTACTACCTACTACTACCACCACTACTACTACCACCACTACTACTACGACGACGACCACTACTACTACAAATAGTAATAGTAATAGTAATAACTACTAATAATATTGAGTACTACTACCAACTATTACTACTACTAACTATTGCTACTACTAACTATTACTACTACTACTCCTCCTACTCCTACGCCTGCGCCTACACCTACTCCTACTGCTACTCCTACTACTACTACTACTACTACTACTACTACCCTGCTGCTGCTGCTTCTGCTACTGCTACTGCTACTGCTACTGCTATTACTACTACTACCACTACTGCTACTACTACTACTAACTACTACTAACTACTACTAACTACTACTACTACTACCACCACCACCACCACCACCACTACTACAACTACTACTACTACTACTACTACTACTACTACTATAACTACTAACTACTAACTACTAACTACTACTACTACTACTACTGCTACTACTACTACTACTACTCCTACTGCTACTACTCCCACTGCTACTGCTACTGCTACTGCTACTCCTACTACCACTACTACGACTACTACTACTACCACTGCTGCTACTACTACTACTACCTACATCTACCTACCACTACCACTACCACTACCACTACCACTACTACTACTACTACTACTACTACTACTACTACTACTTCTACTACCTACATCTACCTACCACTACCACTACGACTACTACTACTGCTACTACTACTACGACCACGACCACTACTACTACCACTACTACTACCACGACCACTACCGCTACGGCTACCGCTACCGCTACTGCTACTACTACTACTGCTGCTGCTACTACTACTACTTTGACTACGACTACGACTACGACTACCTATAATCACGAAAGGAACAGCCCTCCAGGGGATACCTTGAGTTTGTCTTGCGAAGCAGGTGTGGGCTCCTCCGGATCTAATAGTTTATAGTTCAATTCAATCCTCCCCCCTTGGAATTGATTTTTCAATACAGACCCCCCCCCCTTAGAATTGATGTTTCAATTCAGCCCCCCCCCCTCTGACTGCTTCATCCCGAAGTGGATCACCTCGACACCTCGATGGTTATTTGGTGTTGGGCACTCTAAGCTTGTGGCAGTGTTTGAATCCATGAAGAGACATGACATGCTGTTTTTAGTGCTTCTTGTCGTTGAGGATTATCATATAACTGTTTATATGCTATGTATGTGTATATATATATATATATCTCTCTCTCTCTCGAACTTTGGTCATTTCCCCCATTTTTACCTTGACGTTTGATTCGACTCCACCAACAACACACTGCATATTTTACATGCGTACTTTCCTCCCGCTGTCCTACCTTTCGTGTATCCCTCTTGGTCCCTCTTCTCAAGTATCTAGGTTTGCTAGACTGGCCGAACAGCCCGATGGTCGGCCACTCATCCAGTCAATCAACTATATAGACACTAGCAGCTATCGTAGCAATGATGTACATCGCTCGCCGGCAGGCCGGCCGATCGCGGCAATATCGGCCGGCCAGCCGATCGTGTACTAGCTGGCCGGCCGGCCGATCGCGTACTATAGCCGGCTGACCGGCCAATCGCGTACTAGCCGGCCGGCCGGCCGATCGCGTTACTAGCCGGCCAGCCGGCCGGCGGAGAAGTAGCAGACCAGGTTGCCCGCGCTGTCACAACAGCAAAAGATGTTTGAATTTGAACAAACGAATGCTCCAATGCTATTCTGATGGCCAGCTGTTTGTAACTTTCAATACCCTTGTGGTCGCAGAACTAATGCAGTGAATCCCCTCTGAGCACCGCTGAAGAG